CCCAGCCAGGCCAGGATCTTGTGTTTTGTCTGTGGGGAGAGCTGCAGCAGATTCTTCAGCATCTGATGAATCTTCTCATGGAATTCGGCCATGAACTGTGGTTACGAGAGCAGGTCTTAACGTCAACGCACATGCACAGCCTCCCTGGGCCTGCAGTCCTCTAAGACACAGGCAGGTAGTCCTCAACTCACAAAAGTTTGTTTATTGACCGTTCAGAGTTACCGTGGATTATGGCCGCTTTTCACTCTTAAGGTCACGGCAGCTTCCCCACAGTCACAAAATTCAGGCACTCAGCAGCTGGTATGGATTTATGACAGTCCCTTTTGTGACCTTCTTACAAGCAGAGTCAGTGGGAAAACCGGGTTCACTTAACAACCAGGTGACTAAATTAACTGAGTGATTCACTTAACAACTGTGGCATGAAAAGTCGTAAAGTGGGGCAAAACTCACTTAACAACTGACTCGTTTAGGAACAGAAATGTTGGGCTCAATTGTGGCCACCAGCTGAGGACTGCCTGCTCTCTTCCACCAAGTCCTTCCTCTGCTCCCTTCCCAAGTCCTGGCACTTCCACCTCTTTTACGGCACTTTCTGGATCTTAATTCCCGCCCTCCCCCCGCACAGCAGCCCTAGACGATCTCCACAGAAGGCAGCCAGTGTCCTACTCCAAGGCCACAGATCTGCCTGAGCATAGCAATAGCCCTTATATACACTCTGTGCTCTCCAGCCTTCTCTGAGCGGTTTACAGAGTCACCCTCTCTCTCCCAACAATCTGGGTCCTCACCCACTTCAGAAGGACGGGAGGCTGAGTTAACCTTGAGCTGGTGAGACTCAAAATGCCGAACTGCTGGCAATCGGCAGTCAGCAGAATTAGCCTGAAATACTGCATTCTAACCACTGCACCTTACCGACTCTGATCGTACTTGGATAGTATGCATGAAACAACACAGTATACAAAAGAGGGCTTGTCATCCGCGGCCACTTTGCTGCCTCTCAACGCACAATCTTGATACACAAGCAAAACAGGAATGGAACAGAAATATACACCTGGTGGATGTTGGATTCTTGCACCTTGATTTCTTGAGGACTGGACCGAGAGGGGTTCAGAAAGTAGCCATGGCTTTCCACCACACCAGGTGTCTTCAGAAGACATGAGATGTTCAAGATGGTTCCCAGCAGTGTCTTCTGGTAGAGCTGTCCATTGGCTGGATCTTTTGGCTGAATATACTCAACAAAAACCTGAACAAACAGAAGTAGACCCAGAGATGCTTTTTTTTTTTTTTTTCAAAAGGCAACTGGACTTTCTTGGTTTTTCCTTTGAAAACACTTCAAAATTTCACCACACAAACACACATACAACGTGAGGTAGAGGAAAGTGGCCTCTCTCCCAGGTGAAAGGGTAAAGGCAGCAAGGGATTCTGGCCATCTGGGGGGGAATGAGACCACCAAGGACTCACTTGGGCAATATCCTTTTGCTTAGTGAAATACAGGAGGATATCCAGATATGAGTACAACAGGATCTGGCAAAGGTGTAGGTCCCGAATTCGTCCTGAGAGGATGTCGAAGACAGGGACCATAACCTCCTCAAAAGCCCTCACTTCCTCATCCATCGTGAGGCTTTTGATGACCTCCTCCAGGAACTCTGTTACCTCTTCAAAGTCTATGAGGGAGAGAAAGGACGAGTATTTTAAAAAGGATATAGCTGCCACAAGCTGGATCCCATAACTTATCCTGGGATATCAGCCTTTGCCAACTCACGAGCTCCTCTTAGCGATTCCAGCATCAAGTCCACTAACTGCTCGTAGACATTCTGGTTGACGTAGATCTCTGGGGTTAGGAAGAGTGTGTGGGTATTGGACACAGTCAGATTTCTGCAACGCACTGCAAAAGGCAACAAGTTCTCGGGCACCTTGGTGATCTAGGAGAACAGAGAGAACAGCTGATCTCTAGCCCCTTCTGTCCAGGCCAGCAAGCGGCTTGGGTGTGATATGAGTGCTTGACCCACCTCCTCCTTTGCCCTCTGAAAGCAGGCAAAGAGGTATCGCAGGATGTGCTTCTCTCCTGCATCTCTCTCTGCTGAGAGATTCTGGATGCCAGTTGAAGTCATGTGGATCAAGTGATTCCCAGGTTCTGGGAGCAGCAATCGGGTAAAAAGGGCCTGGGGAAACATAACAATCCATAATATTATTGCTCCCTCCCAACATTTGGAGAAAGACCCTAAATTTCATTTACATCCAATTTTTTTATAGAGTGACCTTATGCATGAACAGCCAGGTCTTTCACATGTTTCTCTAAATCTAGCTGGCAGCCCATAGAACTCAGTCATTTCATAGAAGGTGAAATTGGCTCGTTCAAGGAAAAGTACTAGAAAGCAAATCAAAACAAGCAATCAAAGGCCTCTAGGCACATGGTATCCTGGCTTGGGGAAGCATCTTTTCCTGGCCATAGGCACAGGGAAGAGTTGGCCTGATGACCAAGACTAGCCTTCTCCAGCAAGCCTCCAATCTGGTGAAGACCCCATCAGATCCTTGCATGCAGACCTGTTCCACATTTTCCATGTCCAGCCAGTCCTGATCCTCAAGGTCTGCAGCCATTTCCTCCAGGTACACACACCGTGCAGGAATACCATTTCCACTCTTCAGATTGGGGTCACCTACAAAGGGGAGGGGGGAAATCATCAAAGCAGCAGTAGGGAAATACCCCAAACATTCCATGTTCAGAACCATTTCTCTCTCCCTATCAACAACTTTTATTGTCATACTTTGGCTTCTCGATTTAGCAGATGTTAAAACAAGGCCCTCCTGAAGATATTGCTCTCACATATCTTTAAGTGCAACTCCCAGCCTTCCCAACACATACTAAAGGGCACCAAATTGAGGCTGGCATGGTTTGTGGCCTAAAGGAAAGCAATCTCTCGGATCAACGAAATAGCACAGCAAAGCACAAATCTTTTTTAAAAAAAAACAATAAAGGAACAAGCCATACCCTACAGTATAACAATTGGAGCAGGAGAACGAAGCAGCATGGTTGCAAGAAATACCACCAGGTTGGGTAAAGTTTGTCACATCTGCAATATGCTGACCAGCCCATAAAGATACAGAAATCCCACATCAGTACATTTGGCTTTGCATCCAATGGAAGGTCCTCTTAACCGCTTGCACAATGGAGAACAATATTTTCATTCTATATGCATATTTGTTTTTGCCAGGAGAACATTTACACAGTTCCTTTGGCAAACAGATTTTGTCGCCTTTGAGGCATCTTAAGTCAGCAGATGTTGTGTGATATCAACAATTGTTCTCCAGGAGAGGAGCCTGAATTTGCATTCATGGATCAAAACCTGCCACCTGGTGGCTCCCCTCCACCTTAATTCAACCCACCCTGGATTCTGGCCACTCATGCTTCCAAACTCACTGTTATCCAATGTGATCAGGAAGATTCTCTGGATCATGTGGTTGATGTTGAGCTGCTCGCAGAGCTCCTGCTGGGAGCGAAAGGAGCGACTGATCTCAGCCACAGAGTAGTCGCAATCATCCAGACTCTCAGACACACTGTTGTCAGAATCATCTTGGCTGGCAGAGGTTTCCTCTACTAGAGAAGCAGAGCTAGTCAATAAGCAGTGTACCTGGGCCCCAACTGCCCCCCACACATACACCATCTGAGCAGTCTCTCTAAAGGCCTGTGCCTCTCATCTGGGCTGGCACAGCACCAAAAACTTAATAAGGGCACTTTTTTTACACAGCAAGTAAGCAACTTACAGATCATAAAAACATGACTTCTGAAAAGCCATCTGAGAATCTGGAATTAAACTAGTAAAAAGTTAGCTCTCTGGATTTCCATACCTGCCAGGTAATGCTGGTCTAATTCACGTAGTCCACTAAGTGCTTGCATTTCTTTTTCAATTCTGTTGCTAACTGTCCTATAATTGGGCTAAAATTTCAACTAAATTGTCTAACTTTGCAGGTAGATGGACCGAGGTTGAGCTCCCACTGACTGAACAGGAAAGGGACTTTGGATGGACAACAAATAAACAATAAGCTTTCGTGGTAACCCCGTTATAGAAAGATCGAACGCAACTACACCCGCAGGTGCAGAAAGGAAAAGGAAAAGGAAAGGGTGAAGTAAAAGAAGGCGGGCAGAGATTTCTTCGCGCGTTTGGAGCCCGCGGCCCAGGGTGCGAGAGAGGCGATCAGGGCGGGCGCTCCGTCGGGGTCTACGTTCGTCCCTCTCAGCCGCCCGGCCACCTCGCTCACCCGCGGGTTGCGTCGGCGGCTGCTTCTGGATCTCGGCGAAGTGCCGGGCGTCGGCGACGGAACTGAAGAGGGCGGCGAAGGGGTTCCGGGAGATGTTGTTGTTGTTCTCGTGGTCGGTCATTTCCCCGCCGGGCGAGCTCCATGGAGAGCCGCCACCCAGACGACGAGCGACGGCCCGCAGCCCCGGGCGCCCTGGAGCAGGACGGGGGTGACGAGCAGCAGAAGCAACGAGAGGCCCGAGGCTCAGAGGCGCTCCAGCTGGGCGGCCGCGCCACCTTTCAGCTATGAGCTTGGCAACGCGCGACGCCCGCAGTCTGCGCCGACGTCATCAGAGGGAGCCGGAAGCGCGCGTAGCGGGGGGGGGGAGGAGGCAGAGGCGGACACCGACCGACCGACCGTGCAGCCGCACCGCGTCTAGAGGGAGCTGTCGGCGCCTGCGTCACCCTCGACCTTCGGAGGCGCCCCGGTCCCAGGCGCGGGGCAGCCGCCTCTCCGCCCTGCGGCCCGGCCAGCCACTTGAGTGCCAGCCGGTAGCGCGATAAAGCAGCAGCGACAAAGGCGCCGCCTCCCGCCAGGCCCCTCCGGGCACCTGTCCGAGGACGGCTCCGAGACGGCCGCCGAAGCGAGCGGGACACCCTGGGGACGCGAGGGCTCCGGCCGGCTTCGGCTTTGTCCCCGAGCGCCGATCCCAGACAGGCGCTCGGACAGAGGGAGGGCGGAGACGAGCCTGTCGCTGGAGGTTTCCCGGCGCCCCGATCCTCGGCCAGTAGGGCAGCCTGGGGAGCTCTGGGAGTCGAAGTGCACAGACCTTAAAATGGCCGAGGTTGCGAAGCGCTGCTCTGGGTCGACAGTTGGAGGCTGAGGGCCGGTGCTGCGGTGCCCCAGCAGGAGCTGAGGAGGGACCCGGCTGGGCTGAGCCGCCACTCCGGGTTGGCTCTAACTGCCCTGCCCGACATGCCTGGCCAAAAGGGCGGAGGTGCCTCCCCACTCTCGGGGCTTGTTTCTGGGGTGCCTGAGTGGAGAACTGCTGCTGGGACAGAGGGCCCAGTTCTGCCATTCAGTTCCGCAAAGGGGAAAGGAAATCAGCTCCATTTTTTCAGCAGAGCGCTTTCCCTGTAGCATCTCTTTCATCCTTTCATTTCCTTACGTGTAAAAGCATGCACACACACACACACATATGCACCACACAGGACGGAAGTGCCCCCACCCACAGACTTCCTGCTGCAGACTGCCTGCAAAAATCTTCCCTACATCTTCTTGCCCAGTCATTTTTTCACCTGTCAGAAGACCTGCTGCCTGAGCTGAGAAAAACAGGGACCGACATATCTGGCTCCCCCATTGACAAGCATGGGAGGCCAGGAACAGTTGCTGTGGGTAACTCTCCTTGCCCTGTTCTTCCAAGGTAGGCAGTTTGAGAGTGGGGTGGCTTGTGGAGTGGGAGGGGAGGCAGGCTGCGAAAGAAAGAAAGGAAGAAAGAAAGAAGACGAGCAGCGTAGTGAGAAGGCACGAGGACCAGACTGCCAGTTCATTACCATGTGTTGCTTGCCCTCAGCTGTGTTTGTGATTCAGAGCATCTGCTTAGCCCCCCCCCCCAACTGAAAGCAGCAGACCATTGTCCTCGCCACACCTGGCCTGGGGTTGGAGGCAGCCACTTCCCTCTTTCTCACCAACCTCATAAATGAGGAATGGGACATTTATGTTGCAAGCTTTTGGAGGAAAGGCTGAATGCAAATGTTAATACAGCCCCCTGAAGAGGAAAACCTGTCAGAGCAATGATGGAGATGTTGCCTTTAGTGGCTGCCAGATTCCAGGGCCAAAGGATCTGTGATCTGTCTCCACAGCCTATGGTAGGTGAGGAAATATTATTATGTGCCTGTCCTGAACCACTAGCATTTGGGGAGAAAAAACTTCTCTCTGTCCACTTTTCTCAGACTTTGCCTATTAGATTTTAGATTTAGATAAATTTATTGTCATTGTACTCAGAAACCTGAGAACAACGAAATAAGGTGCTCTTCCACAACATACAACTGAACAACACCAAAAGACATATACAAATAACAATGTAAAACAAATTAAAACAAATAACAGTTAAAAACTGTACAACCAGGATATATATATGTTAAGACCACCAGATTCATAACTCTGCATTTAACCTGATCACAGCACTTGGGTAAAAGCTATGTTTAAATCTACTTGTCCTGGCTTTCAGCACTCTATATATCGTCTTCCTGATGGTAGGATCTCAAACAACGAGTGGCCTGGATGCGAAGGGTCTCTCAAGATCTTTTGTATCTTCCTTCTACATCCCATGTTATACAAATCCTCCAATGAGGGAAGAGGGCATCCGGTGATCTTTTGTGCCCTTTTTAATCACACTTTGGAGTGCCCTTTTCTCCGCCTCTGTACAACTCCTAAACCACACACACAGGCAATAAGATAAAATGCTCTCTATAGAGCTTCAATAAAAGGCAACCAACAGACTCTCTGGCAATTGTTGTGATCTTAAAAGTCTTAAAAAATACAGTCGTTGATGAGCCTTTTTTTCTAGGGCTAAAGTATTTGCCCCCCATGTTAGATCTTGTTTCAGGATGGTACCTAAAAACTTACATTCTGCCACCTGTTCTACCAAAACACCATCGATATACAATGACTGGATATCCGAACTGCTCTTCCTGTAATCCACTATGAATTCCTTTGTCTTATTTATATTAAAAATAAGATTGTTTACTTTGCACCAGAGGGACAGCTGATGAACTTCATCCCTGTACGCAGACTCATCATTATCAGAAATGAGCCCCACCAACGTCGTATCATCTGCAAACTTAATGATCTTATTGCTCAGATGAATAGAGGTGCAATCAGACGTATAAATAGTGAATAAAAGTGGACTCAATACACAGCCCTGAGGAGTGCCAGTATTGAGGATCTCCACAGAAATGTTCATTCATCCTAACCCTTTGTGAACAATGTGATAAAAAATTCAGAATCCACCAACATATGGAGTCCGGTAGCTTCAGATCTTTAAGCTTGGACATCAATCTGTGGGGTAATATTGTGTTGAAAGCAGAACTAAAATCAACCAATAATATTCTGACGTACGTTCCTTTTTTCTCCAAGTGAGATAGGGCAGTATGAAGAACAGTATTGACAGCATCCTCAGTAGATCTGTTTGTTCTATAAGCAAACTGATAATTGTCAAAGGTAACAGGAAGGCAAGAAATAATATATTTCCGAACTAACTGCTCGAAGCAGTTATTATTAAAAACCTCAATAATGGTGCTCCTTAGCAGCCTCTTTCTGAAATTAAGAAGTCACATAAATGTTTCCTTTCTCAGGTTAACGTCATTCTTTCAGCCAAAGACTGATCAGTCCTCCATTAGCGTTTGCTATTCCCTCTTCCTTCCCTTCCTAGATGCCATTTGGCATGGAGTCCACGCGTTTAAATGCATCTGCACTGCATACATTCCACTGTTTGATGTTGCTTGGACAACTGGGTGGAGGACTGGTGTGTGGTATTATTGGTGTTTCTTGTTCCCAGTTTATTTTGATCCGTGTTGAAATTATTTTCTTTCAGGCATCAGCATCAGTGGAAATACCGCATCTGAAAATGGTATGCTTTATCCCAGTTTTCTAAAAGAAAGAAAAGCAGTGAGGCAGCTTGGGAGGAGTTTAAATAGGATGGATTTATACAGTATGTCTGGGTCCAGCCATACGTTTTGTGGCCGTGTTTTACTGACTATGCCGTAATTGGCTGGGTTTGCGCAATGAGCGTAGACTGATGCACAAGCCCAGTCGATGACTCTTGGTGTGCTTAATTTTTTGCCTCTCTTTCATTTGGGGCTGGTTTCTGAATTTTCCAGATCCTGGGTGTTTGGAAAAGGCTTGTTTCCAAGAGAATATTTGGAAAGATTTTTCTGGCTGGCTAGAAGCTCATCAAGAGTCATTCCTGGTTAGGAGGGCAAAGGGCCTTAAACAACACTTCAAGACCGCCAGGTAGACTAGGCAGGAGGAAGTCTCAGCAGTTTCCCTAGGACTTTCAGCTGAGCAGACCTGTTACAGGAGGAAGGCAAGTTCCCTGAGACCAGCGAAGTGGGAGAGAAGCAGCGGCAAAGACGTGGGGTCCCAGCGGCTGATAGCAGGTTTCTGGCCTTGCAGGGGCCTGGTCTACTTTCAGCAGACAAACTCCCTGCCCACCCCATCCCTGGATAGAGAAAACGGAAGCAGACCTTTGCTCAGCAGCAACCGCTGGCCCAGAACTAGGAATAAACACAAAGGCTTGTTTCACTTAACCAATGATACTTAAGCCATGATACTTTTGCAGAAGGAATACCAGTTCCTGAAGATGGCCGTATAAATATGCCTTGCTAAAATGCTTGTTATCTAGTTTGTTTGGCCCCTGCAACCCTGGAGGTGCTGGTGAGGTGATGCCTGTGGGACCTTTGCTCCACCTCATCCCATTTGTTTTGCAGATATCGTCATAGAGCAAAAAGGGAAAACTGTCTACCTGGTATGTACAGGGGGCAACAATGAGACACGCTGGAAAAAAGACGGGGTGAATCTAACCCCCCAAGGGAAGAAGTTGATGTTGGCTGTGATGGACGACCCCAGAGGCATCTACCAGTGTCTCGACAGGGATGAGAAAAACAGAACCCTGCAAGTTTTCATCCGGAGTGCGTAAGCCTTCTTTCCCCTGCTTTACTTAACAACATTGCCAGTCATCCAGTTTCAGCGAGGCAGATACCGGGGTTTTCTGAAACAGACCTGCCCTTTGTAGGTGGGACGGTCCAGGTGAAAGGAATATTTTAGCTCCATTCCCTACCCAGAGACAGTCTTGAGCAAAACAAGAAGGATGGGGGCAGCTTGATTGGCAGATGTCTTTAAAAGAATCTGGGCAGTCTATCCTCAGCCTGGTAAATTGTCTACCTCCTCACTTCAAAAGGAGCTTCACTTGTTTGGTGAGGTCTCAGTTTGCTTCTTAGCTGATTAAATGAGGCTAGTCCTCTTCCTATGGAACCAAGCTTTTTCCTTAAGAACTTGCTTGTCTATTCTTAGGTATTAGAAAAAAATGTGGTGTAGATTTTTCGGGAGGTAAACTGTCAAATCACCACCTCTGTGACTTAGATTGAGTGTTCCTGCGCTGAAATGTGTCTGGAGATGAAATGCTCCATTCTGCTCATGTTCAGCATTTCTGGCCTCTCTTATCAGGCTGCTCTTTCTCAGGACACAGGTGATCTTTCTGCCAAGCCCTGTAAAAGCCTGGGACGGCCCCTGGGATGGGCAGATTGGAGACTGCAGCTGGGCCTCCCTTTCTCTGCCCAGTGACCTGGCAATGGCCTCGGATGGGTGAGGGCAGCTTGTGGCAGTTCTGCCATAAAAGGACACCTGCTCTGCTTGGGTGAGGCCTCTGTGGACTCCACTTGGATATGAGGGGGAGTGCAGAGTGTATCTTCAACGTTTTGTTTCACAGTGTGCCAGTACTGCATCCATCTGGACTTCACCACGATTCTGGGGATTTCAGTCGCCAGCCTCCTTGCCACAGTCTTCCTAGCCATCGCTGTGTACCACCTAGCTGTGGAAGAGCGGAGCCGGCCTGCCCAAGGTGAGGAGGTGGCAGGAAAGGGGAGCCAAGGAACTTCTTGAAAGGGCCATGGTGGTTTTCTCCAGAAGGAAAGACCGCCTCATTTGCAGCTCAAGTGCCCCCTCCCGTTTCTTGCCTGCCTCAGAGATTCCACCCCCCCCCACCCACCCCCCACCCACACACCCACTGCCCTCTTGGGCTCTTGGTTTGTTCCCTGTGGACTCAGTCTTCCTATTTTGATCCTGCAGCTTCTGATAAGCAGAGCCTGTTGGCCAACGACCAGCTGTACCAGGTGAGAGCTTCCTTTCGGCTTTTCCTTTCTGTGTCAGATCAGAGACTGGCCAGTTCATCCCACAGAAAGTGGGAGACCTACTAGAAGATTGGATGAACATGGGCCATTTGTGTATCCCAGCAGAGTAGAGATGGGGCGGAGCTAGAACCAGGTATGAGCACACCTGTGCCCTTATTCATTGAGTAAAACTAGCTGCTCTCCTAGTCACTGATGGCTTTGACAAAGAGTCTGCCGACCTCTTGGGCATCTCCAGAGCCCCAGCCCCACAGAGGGTCCCCTAGCAGGGAAGGCTGCCCCAAGGACAGCAGACTCCGCCAAGCCTGTCCTCATCCAGGCCTATTAAGCTGTTTGGCAACAGCCAGAACCACGAGCTCCAGTCCCCGCTTGGCTTGGCTTGCTGGGCAAATCCTGGATTTTACTTGAGGATCCAGCGTGGTTGTCAAAGGAGCCACAGTTAACAATTCCGCGTAAGAGTGAAAAGTATCCCAGGGGTGCAATTGGCCACCCTGGGGCCACGGCACTGATTTCCCTTCCAGAAACCCTGGCACACGTTCTGCCCTCCCTGCCAACGGAGAGAGAGCCACCACACCAGAAGGGAAGCAAGCTATGGGGGCCGCTAAATGGGCCCTCCAAACTGGAGGGCAAGGGGTCGTGTGGGAGACCGGTGGAGCAGTGTCCTACCTGCCTGACCAGGCCACATTTCCCAGAGCCACTGCTGCCACTGCCGCCGCCTCCTCACCCGCTGCTGGCTCTTGGCCCCCAAAGTGATAGAAGTGTGCTCTGCCCACATAGGCGCTAAGGGTAGGTGTTCTTCCTTCCAGCCTCTCCAGGAGCGCAACGACAGGCCATACAGCCACATTGCCATCACCAAGCCTCGCCGCCGATGACGCCGTTCTCCAGCCGCCTTCGGGTTCCCCTTCCTGCGCTCAATCCCCGAGGGACGTCCATTAGGTCAGCTGAGGTGGGGAATTGTGGGGCCCTCCCTCCGCCTGTGTCTGCCTTCTACTCCAGGGCCTCAAGCCGGAGACCTGCTGGAGCTGTCGGAGCTGCTGGATTGCATTTTCTGTTTGTTAACCCTAAGAGTGTGGGCTTGGGGGGGGCGGGGGGGGGGCAGCCTGCTTTAAGCTAGTTTGATGAATGCCCTCAGGTGCAATGCTGGGAATGTGGTGGCCGATCAGAAGAAGAAGGTCTTTTCTTGGCAACACAAGTGGCCGGTTCATCTTCCATCCTTCCCTTTGCAGCTGAAACTGGGTCCCTGGCGTTGCTCCCCTGGGCGTCCTGCCCCTCCCCCAATAAAAGGTGTTGCTTGCAACTTCCTCTCTAACATGGTGATGTTTGACTCAAAGGGCTGCAATGGAGTTGGAGTGCAAATGTCATGGAGTCAGCCATTTGCACCAGGGTGTAGCCACCCCCAGGTGGTGATTCATAGGGCAGCAGAGGGTGGTGGCTTGTGCCTTTCTTGAAGTGCAGCTGTGCTTGCTTTTGACCACATCCTGTGGAACGAGCACATCACCTGGGGCGGGGGCTGGTTCGATGTGGGGCCCCAGCATTTCCTCCCCTCTGCAACTGCCAGATTTTGTGCTGAGGGACCTCCTGGTGCAGCTGGAGCCTTCATGGGGCTGCCTCTCACCGTCAGCAACGGGTTCATTCGGCTGGTCCTCAGGCAGGGAGGGAGGGAGGCCCACTGCCCGTCTTAGGACTATGGGGGTGCTATGTGACCTGGGCTCCCCTCCCAGCGGGGCACTGCGGGTGGCTGGGAAAGCAGAGAAGATCTGGGCTTTCATGTCTGGCTAGTCACTCCTGCACCTCCTCTTTTCTCTCTGCCCCCCCACTTCCCCAAGTCTGTTCCCAGTAATACCCGTATTATCAGAGAAGAAGCAGCACAGGAGGCGGCTGGGGTGAATGGAAGAGAGCTTTACTAGGATTCTTTGCAAGCACAAGCCAAACAAATGTAAAAGCAGGCCCTCGTGGCGTCCCCTGCCAGGGCAAGTGGGCACAAATGGACCAGGTGCTCTAGGGGAGACCTGGTCACAAGTGGTCCCTGGGCACCCCCAGCCAGAACAGCAGGCCCTGCCCAGGGGACGGGACGGGAGCCACAGAGTTGGGGTGCCCTTGGAGTAGCAGTGCTCTGGCTGAGTGGCCCCACACGAGGGGAGAGGCTCCCAGGGTGCCCCTTTCTCGCCCAGGTGAGACCTGCAGTCATCCCGCAGCTCTCTGCTCCACCGGGGATGGGGCTCTCCAGGCCACCCGATTTTCTAGCGGCAAAGCTCGGCGCAAACAGGGAGCCCCCCCACACCAGGAAGGTCAGCAGTTAGTGCAAAGAGGAGAAGGCAGGCACTTCTGGGACTCTCGTGGCCAGCTGGAACATCTGGCATCTTGCCATGGCAAGCGAGGCAGCACCTCAGGAAGCCTGGGGCTCCAGACCAGCATACACCTCCCGTTGGCCCTTCCGGATCGGCTGCAGGAACAGAACATGTTTGGGTCAAACCTGGCCTTACTTTCTAGGACGCTGGCTGTGTGTGTGTAAGAGGGGCATTGGCAAAGGGAGGACCCCACTCGCTGTATGCGATACAGACTCTTGATTCTGATGCTCTTCGCTCTCCAGAGCTTTTGATTGTTTTTGCACTTGTTTGTGTAATACGTATCAGGGAACCGTGGCTTCCATATGCAGTAGAGTTTAAAGCCATGTTAGGTTCTTTTTTTAAGTGGGGGAATCATAAAGATGTGTGGGATGTGTCTGTAATGTTACATTTTCTAAACTGGTAAGTAAAAAAATTCACAATGTAGCTTCTAATGTGGGTATTAGATTTTAAAAATTAATTGAGAAAAGCAAATTGATTCAGAGATTCACTCAAATAATCTTTGAACTAAACCTCCCAGTCGAATTTTTGTTCCATCCTGACAGTACCAAAGTAGGGGGAAAAGTCATTTTGGGATCTGCTCCCAAACGTAAAAGTCAGTGCTGATGAAATTCACTAAATTTGAGAGCATTTGCACCAAGACCAAATTCCCTGTGTGTGTCCAATGACGCTTCGCCAATGAAGAATCCCATCCTATCCTATTTCTATTTTATTCTTATTGTAGCCTATGATACTATCATGAGGTGTTGTCCCTGATGACTCTTGACGAATGTATCTTTTCTCTTAAGGACACTGAGAGCATTTGCACCAAAGAGAAATTCCTTGTGTGTCCAATCACACTTGGCCAATGAAGAATCCCATCCTATCCTGTTCTAAAACTGGATCCTCACTTAGGCAATAGACCTTAGCAGAGAAGGGGGGGGGGGCAAGTGCCTGTTTCCCCTCTGCAGCTCCGACCCTTGGCCTCCAGTACTTGAGATGCTGCACAGGGGACTGTGGACTCCCCCACCACCATCCCATATTCAGTCCAGGGCTTACCTCATAATCTGGATTTGGAACAGGTGGGGGCTGATCTGTTTGCTGTCCTGGAGCAAAAAGCAAAGTGCAAAGTTCATTGCCTCTGCCGTTCTCTGGCTCAGCACTCTCTCTCTCTCTTCCCCCCCCCCCACCCCCCCACCCCACACACTGTCCTTTTCTCCTGCTGTGATTGCCTGGGCTTGCAAAATCATCTGCTGTCCTGGTTGTTGCACTACCCTCACCCCTCAGACTCCTCCAAACTGCAAAGCATCGTGCTTAAAACCTGGCCTGCAGTTGCGGGGGGCGGGGGCACTCACCTTGCAGCCGCCGTGGGGCACCTGGCCTGAAGAGGGCTTGCTGCTTCTGGCTGCAGAAGTAGACCAGGAGCAGGACTCCCAGTGTGAGCAGGAGGTCAGCCACGACGATGCCAGCCCCGAGGCCGAAGCTCAGCTCCACACAGTCCTTGCACCCTGAAGGAAACCCCAAAGCCTCCGCTGAACAGGGAGCTCTGCCAGCCTGGCTTTGCGGGAAGGGTCTTCTCTGCCCTGGCTGCCTGGGACTAGAAGGGTGCGGTGGGATTGGCCACCAGGCAACTCAAGCTGCTGAGCAGCCCCCCTCCCCCATCAAGGGCAGAGAAGCCATGACTGACCTTTGATCTGCAGGTAAATCTTCCAGAATTTGGCATTCTTTTGCCCACAGAAAAAATTCCACCCTCTTTCGAGCTGGTCGTCTGGGGTGGAGAAGTTCAGAGTTTTCGTGCGTCCTCGATCGGACTTCATGTCCCACCAATTGAATTCCTTTCCCGGGCACGTGAGAAACACCTTCCCCAAAGAGAGTTCCACCTTGATTTCTACGGCAAGTCAGAAAAAGAGTCTACCTGGCAGCTCTGGGCACAAACCCTGGCAGATAATCCAGCAGGTTCTCACTGGGAAGAGCAGCGTGGCTGTCTTTTCGCCAAGACTATGAGCTAGTGCCCCACAGCACACACCCACACACACACCCACACACACCCCACACACATCTCTCTCCCTTCTTCCCAGTCGAGGCTTTGTGGCTTTTTTCTTTGCCCCACATGCACGTTCAGGGAGAGGCCTGGCCTCCTTACAGGCAGCCTGTCTGCTTTGCCACAGGTGTTAGTCACTGGCAGTTTTAAAAGGTAACTTACAGTAGTTTACCTTTGAACAGACGTTGCTATTCTTATTCTGCAACCATCTCCAAACACTTTCCTGGACTGTCATTAACCTGAGCTTCTTCAGAGGAAGAGACATGGAACAGGACGGCTATGCCATGTCCCCGAGAGCGTCCATTTTCATTCAAAAAAGCGACACCCCCTCCCCCACACACCCCGGGGGAGCCGGGACAGAGGCTGGGCCTCGTTGGAGCCTCCCAGTTTCTTAATCCTGGTGGCAAGGACGCCTCCTCAGCCATCACAAACCCACCCAGGTAAATACGCGGCGGCTGGTTTGGGGCAAGGGTGCCAGGGGCAGTCCCTGATGACTGCATGGACAAGAGCCGCTGCTCCCTTTCTGACTTGTTTCCAGCAATGCCCCAAAGTCCCAAAGCCACTCCCTTCCTTACCTTCAACCTGTCCCTCCGCCTGCCTGGCTGTGAAAAGAAGAAAAAAACACAGTGAAGACCTTCTCACCGGCACGCAACGGCCATTGATTCCAGAATAAAGCTGCTCCCTTCCGCACCTTAAAAGCCATTTCTTTTATGAAGCCTGAGCAAAGCTGGAGGACAAGGCTGTGGGCCAGGTTGCTCCCCAAAAAGCCCCTGAAATGGAGCGGCTGCTCCACAAGTCAGACTTGTGGCAATTATTCTAACAGCTTTCTGGAGGAATCACCCAGCAGCCCCTCGTGGGCACCGCTGCAGCCGTACCCAGGAAAAGGCAGCGGAAAGCGTGGGTGCAGGCGTTGGTTTTCTTGCCTGGCACCGAAGACTGAGGCATCACAAGGCCTCTCATGTTTGCATCGTGTAATCTTCCAGAAGCTTCCTTTGCAGGGTCAGGTGGCTCCTATGCCAAACTAGGCCACCATTGTTTAAAAGAGGACCTGTGGACCTTACTTTGAAGAGGGGACTCCGCTCCATCATGCAGCTAGAGACCCTCCCATGTGTGCTCCTCCCCCTCCCCCTCCAGGGCTCTCCTGAGGAAAGGGACACACACACACACACACACACACACACACACACACACACACGGTAGCGGGAAAGAGAGAGCTCTCCCCCAACTCAAGGGATTCAGCCCTACCCACCAGGCCCGCTCCTCCACCACTCAGCCCCAGGCACCACCCTGAGATTTCAGGTAGTCTTTGAGTTACAACCATTTGTTTTACAACTGTTTGAAGTTACGACAGGGCTGGCCGAAAAAGTGATTTACATCCAGTCCTCGCACTTATAACCCCCACAGCATCCTCATGGTTACATGATTGTCATTTGAAACTTTCCCAGAGGGTTTCAACAAGTAAAGTCAATGGGGAAAGCCTGATTTGCTTCACAATGGCATGGTTTGATTCACAACTGCAGCTGAAAAAGTCACAAAATTCAATGTAAGTCACTTAGCGACTGCTTTATTTAGCAACAAAAGTTCTAGTCCCAATTGTGGCTGTAAGTTGAGGATTACCTGCACTAGGAGGGGAGGAAATGACTGACCACCTGCTCTGAAAAACACAACCCAGGTGGAAAACATTTAGTTGGGAAATAATTTGTGATTTCTCGAAAATGTTCTCCACCACCCAACACACAATCGCCAATGTACTGCGGGAAAACCTCTTCTAGAGGATCTGGTCATGGAGATCGACCTGTTGCCTGGAAGGGGAGATGGCGTCCTTGGGGCTGTCAGGCCTGAGGCTTTGGGAAAGGCAGCCATGTGCGCAAACAAGGCGGCTGCCTCCCTTCACAACATGTGGCTGGGCCCCAGGAGAGCTTGACCGGCAGGGCCAGAAGCCAGGCGGACCGATTGCTGGAATAAGCAGGAGCCCAGATGGGGCCCCAGCCCGGCCCTCCTTGCGGCACTCACCTGGGTGGAACAGGAGCAGCACCAAGGCGCCCAAAGGGAGCCCCAGAGGCATCTTCCCACTCTCTGCGGCTCCCCCGTTGGAGAACCTGCTGCCTCTCTCCCTCTGCAGGAGGGCTCTGAGAACAGGGCTGAGCAATCGGTAAAGAAAGAGAAAGAAACCCGCTGTGGGCCCAGCCCGCCAGGAAGTGGGGGCTCCGGCAAAGCAGGAGGAGCGAGCTGCCGAGGCTCAGTGAAGGCACAGATGGAGCCAGGACTGCTCAGCTGCCCCCCCCGGGGGGGAGGGGGGGGGGGGGGGGGGGGGGCTCTTCCAGCAACACAGAAGAAGCAGTCACAGGCATCCCACCCCCCACCCACCGCCTCTTCAATCCCTCCACCAAATACACACTAGCCCTTATTTACTGCCCGATGTCTTGGCAGGAACAGCTTCTGGGCCACTGGACTGGAGGCCCAGCTGGTGCTTCGGGGGTGGGGGATGGGGGTGGGGCTCAGCAGTCAATCCAAGGGACCACAATCTCAGATTCGTGATGAAAGAAAGTGAAGGCAAACGCCTTCCAAACAGCCGGCGGCCAAGAACAATTGGTTGATATCCTCGGGAGCCTCCAGTTTGAGTTCCTCTGGTCATCACAGCTGGGAAGCTCTCCCTGACCAACATCCGCTCCTGTACAGCAGTTGCCACTCCATCAGGTGTGGCAGCGATGTCCTGTGGCAAGCAGGCACAGCACAGCCAAGGCTTTGCTATCAGGCGCTACAGTGCCTCCCTGGGATCATCCCCTGGCCCTGCCAGGCCTGGGCTTAAGGCCCTCCTCTGCTGCCTTTGGGGCTGGCATGCACCTGAGCTCAGCCTGATGGCCTCAGATAGTGGGCAAATTTAAGTGCCTCTTTTCAGGTAAAGAGAGAGCCTTCTGAGCATGTGCAGACAGCTCCCCAAGCATCCCCACTCACAAGAACTGCTTCTTAGGAAGATGGGGGAGGGGAGAGCATTTAAGAGATTCTTCAGTGTTTAGTTTGGTGTTTGGAGGTACCAGAAGTGCAGGGCTGAAAATAAATCTAACAAACAAAATGGAGGCTGCACCCTGTCTTCTCTTTGCACAACCCCTTCAGACTCAAATACACACACACACACACACACACACACACACACACACACACACACACACGGCTCCAGCCAAGGCCCCTCTACAACCTGGTGAAGAACCCCAACCTTTCCAGCTCTGCTGGCAGTGGAAAGGCTCCCTGTGCCTGAGGCCAGGACTCACCCACCCAGGTACCCCGCCCGACAAGGACCTCCCCAGTTTCCCCAAATGGCCAGCCAATCAGACCCCAAAGACTTCCTGCCTCGTAGTCCTAACCTCTATACAAATCTTGGCTTTCCCCGTAGTGGGGGCTCTCTTTCTTGCAATGCAGACAATCAACAAACCTCGCAATAAACCCTTGCAGTGAACAAATCCCCCCTCGTGTTCGGGCCGGCTTGGCACTACCTTTTGCGGGAGAATCTCCTTTTATTTCGATGGTCCCTAACAATTCTAGGACTTTCCCCAAATTCCGGGACAGGGGTAGGAACGAGTGGGGCTCCTGTGGAAAGAGCGTGGGGCGCGGCTCCTCGGAGAGGCCGTCTCCGCCTCGCTCCGGTGCAAGGGGACGCGCAGAACAGCCCCGCGAGCGGGGAGCCGGTCGGTGGCGCCCAGCCCAGCTCCGGCATGCGACAGCCTGGAGAAAGGGGGCGGGGGCCAGGTGAGCTCTTCCTTGGGCGGCCCGTGGGAGGCTCCCAATCCTTGCGGGACGCGCCCGGCTCATTCCAGGTTTGGGAGGCGTTTCGGCGGAGCGGCTGGCCGGATCCCGCAGAGGCAGGCGCTCATGGCCCCCCCGGCGTCGCGGCGCGCGGGACCCGCGGCCTGGGGCTTCTTTCTGCTCGGTAAGACAAGCCTGTTCTCCCCCCCACCCCCGGAGCGGCGATGCAAGGCCCGGGATCCCCGCCGAGAAGTCCCGGCTGGGTGGCCTCCCTGCGGACCCCGATCGCGACCCCGAGGAAGGCAGAGGCGCGGCCTTGGCTCTTCCGGAGTTGCCGCCTCTAGGCCGCCCCCGCAGCGGTTGCGGACCCGGGCCGCCACGCCCGGGGCTGCTCTGGGCGGCGGCGGCGGCGTCACCGGCCGACGAGTTCCTACCCGTCGGAGCCGCGACCTGTTCAGCGGCTTCCTTCCCTTCTGCGCCGAGCGGGCAGCGCCCACCTCCAGGAAGCGGCGGCTCTGGGCCCTTCCTTCCTTCCGCCAGGTGCCGTCGGGCCCTGCCGCGGCATTCGCCTTCCCTCTGCTTCTTTCCGCAGCGCTCGGGCCGGTGGCGGCTCTGGAAACGTTCACCCCTGGCACCCTGGAAGCATTGAACGGGACCGACGTGCGCTTGAAGTGCACCTTCCGCAGTCCAGTCCCGGCGGGTCCGAAGCTGACGGTTTCCTGGTATTTCCAGTCGGAGCTGAAGGAGCCTCTGGAGGCGGTCAGTCCCCTTGCGGTGCGGCGGGGCAGAGAGGCTGCTAAGGGTCATCAGCCGGTGGGGTGGGGGCTCGGCTCCGAGGCACCTGGGGGAAAAGCAGAGTGTCCCCCGCTCCTTCGGAAGCGTTTGGCAGAGCGGCCTGTGCTTCCCTGGGCCACTTGGCTCAGCAGGCAGAATCCCCAGAAGGCATTCAGGGCCCGTTTGCTGGAGCCCGGCCCAGCCTCTCCTGCCCACCCACTCAGGCAGAGGTAGCTGCCCCTGGGAGGCAGGTCTGGAGTCCCCCAAGCCCCAGGCACACTCCCTGCAGGCTGACTGGATGGCCCTCTTGCAGAGGAGCTCAGGGAAGCTTCCCCAGCCCCCCCCCTTCCCCTGGCTACTGCACATCCCCCCTTCATCATAGCCATTGGGTGGGGGCCTTCCCTTGCCCAGAGCTCAGCAGAGTCCTTTCACAAAGCAGTAAGAGAAATTATCTGGACCTGGGTGCAAGAGATGCTGCTAAGCGAAGACTAGGAGCTGCCTAACTGGTGCTCTCTTGGCTGTGCTCAGGTGCTCTACTACAACCACCGGGCTTACCCCTCCAAATCAGTCCGCTTCCTAGACAGAATCACCTGGGATGGCAACGTACACAAAAATGACGCTTCCATTATGCTCCACAATGTGAGCCCCAAAGACAACGGGACCTTCCAGTGCCATGTGAAGAACCCACCTGATGTGGACGGTATCATTGGCGAGATCCGGCTGAGTGTTGTATTGAAAAGTGAGCGAGCCAGGTGGGCTGCAGGGGGCTGGCACTGCTACCCTTGTCTTTCTCTTCCTCATCGGCCCTCCTGTTGTCTCTGGACAGGAAGCTTTTCGGAGGTGCATATTTTGGTCCTTACCATTGGCATTTCCTGTGCTGCAATGGTCCTCCTTGTGGTGGTCGTGGTGATCTGGCGTCACTGGCGGAGGATGCCGCAAGACAAGACAAGGGAGGTGGGCAGGTGAGTTGCAGGGAGGGACTGGCCTCCTGGGTGGCACTCCTTTGTGGCAGAGGACTGTGCAAGTGGTGGAAATGGGGCTCCGCTGAGGAGGAGCTGGCATGGTCTGAAATTCACCCAGCAGAATCCAGAAGCCACAGAGAGCCCTGCAAATGGCTGAGTTGAGGCTGCCCAGCAGACTGTCACGAGAGACTGTACACAGGAGATTTCTTGGAATGGCCTCGACCTTCACACAGGAGGGAGGCAGCTAATTATTGATCGACTCTGTGGGTGCTTTACATGTACAGTGCCACATCTGATTCCAACGTTCAAGACAGGGCACTTTCTCCCTCTGCTTCCTGCAGCCAGAGTCGTCCCCCCCCCCAAAAAAAGACCCCCTTGCCTCCCCTGGATGGCTTGGCAGTAAAAGGCAGGTGTGCCTGCAGCCCCCCCAGCAGGCATAGGGAACCAGAGCACCCCCCCAAAACATCCCCGAATGCAACCTGAGCCAGTGGTGGCTACCCAGCTGACCTGCCCCATCTCCCCCCCCCGTCCCATCTCACAAAGCAGCCACTTTGGTGCCTCCGGACCTGCGGTTGTTGCCCTTCTTCCCCTCTTCTCAAATAGGTCAGAGCAATTGAAGCTGAAGGAAGGTGGAGAGGAAAAGGAGACCCCCCTGTCCAGAGAGGGGGCCCATCGGTCTTGGTAAGGAAAGGATGCTGGAGCTGGAGGGGTTGGACCAGCACCGGGCAGGAGCTGTTACCAGCTACTCCAAGATGGAGGTGGGAGGCTGAAGTTTCCTTTCCCTCGAAGAGAAACCAGGGATGGAGGGGCTGCGGCAATTGTAGGTGATGCCTGGCGCATCACCCACAATAACTTCTTGTGTGCTTTTCTCTCCCAGATCCACCCATGGACGCTGTGGCCTGTTGGAGCGGAGGCGGCAAAGGGGCTTCTGCTCCTGGCCTTGAAGGAGAAGACTTCCTGCAGGATGTAGGAGCGCCTGCAGGAGACAAAACCTCACCTCTGCCCACATGACGCCAAAGGTCTGCCTAGCTGGTCTTCTCCATGTGTCTGAAGCAGTCGCCCTCCCCTGCCCACCTGGAGTATGGATTGCCTTTGGCACGGTGACTGAAGACCTCGGGGCCGCTGGCCACCAAGTTGGGGTCAGCAGAAGATCTGGTCAAGACAGACTGGCCAGGCCAAGCTTGGGGGAGGGCAATGGGAACCACTTTGCCAACTGTTCTGCTCTCTTTCCTGGGCCAAAGCCAAGGGGGAGCCCCCAACCACTTAGGAAAGGGTCTCCTCTTCCAACAGGATCAAAGCCCCATTTCTGTGGCCTGCCTGGAGTAGCAGGAGCTCTGCCTCATTTTGTGCAGGCAGAAGGTCTTGGTGCAGCCATTCCATGTCCTTTAAGGCTCTCCAGCCCAGGCTGACAGCACAAATCTTTCCTTAAAACCAGGGTTTGCTTTCTCCTTCGGGAGGATTTAAGAGCCCTGGACAAAAAACAATTCTCTGGCCACTGAGCCCCTTTTATGTGACCCTACCAACAACTACCTCTAAAACTCGGAAGCTTCAGATATTAGAGGACTGTCTGCTGGATTTCTTACGTGCCACCCTTTCATATCCTTAGGTGACAACACTTTCATACACTAATTTATTTAAAGGGTCTTGTATGCAAATGGAATATTTTATAATAAAGGTACAATTGCCTGGGATTAAAAGTGAGTGTCATCTAGCTTAATGGAATGTAGTACGGAAGCCCATCCCGATCAATTGTGCCACCCTTGAAGCCAGGCGGCCCCAGGAGAGCGGATTCTGCACACTACCATCCTGGAGGGAGCCCAAAAAGAAGTTCCTGCTCAGAGGCCCAGGAGGAGCAAGGGGGAGACCCAGATCAACTGGGGGGGTGGGGGGGAAACTAAGAGGGGGAGGGGCAGATTGAGGCGAAGTAGCACGGAGTCTCCAGCAGTGTCTGGACTTGGGCTGGTTGGTTGGGAGGGAGGGAGGGAGGGAGGACTGGGCAATGCCGCCTAAGAAACCACCCACAGGTGGCATTGCCTCTCCTGGGTCAAACTCCCTTGCCCTCCAGTGGCCTCTGGAGTGAGACCTCAGTGGGTGCAGTTGGCTGGTCTTCATTTGAGGCTCTGGGGTGGCAGCTGAGGGGCCTCCTGGCCAAACCCAGCCTGCTCCAACTTGCTGAGAAGGAGAACTTGTTGGGGCAGACCAATCAGCTGGACCAAGGGCCCAAAGTGGCTGCTGGAGCCTCTTCTGCACACCAAGCAAAAGAAAAAGAAAAACACAATTTCACCTCCACCATGAAATTATACCAGGCATTTTGGCACAGACAGGCTCCTGTTCTAGATTCTCCTTTTCTTGGTCAGGTGATGGGAGGTGATTACCGGCAGTCCCGGCTGGGCTGCTGCATTCCAGAGACGGTCATAGGAGTGGTTTGGTTCAGGTCTAGCAAGTCCTGGGCGGCCAAGCTGGGGCCCAGGCAGCAAACCCAGGCTGAGGCAAAGGGCGCGACCCGGGCCAAGAGTCTCCTTCGAGAGCTGCCGAATCTCCATTCCTTGCTTCGGATTCCACCTTTCATCCGCACACACAGAGTCGGGATGCGGTTATTGTCTCAGCAATCGCTCTTGGGAAGTTGCCGGACATCAGGGGAGTTTCCGCCGCCCCTGCCCGCCTCTTTTCTCCAGTTCAGCTTCGCTCCCGGAGGAGATTGAAAAGCGGCCAAAGCGCCTTGACCGCTGCCGGACGTCTGGCCTCCCCACGGGGGCCCCTGCTCTCTTTCGCCTTCTTGGCCGGATCCACTCGAGATCTGCCGGTTCCTCCCGAACCTTCACGGGGGAGGGGCGCGGGGGGCGGCCGGCCCTACTTCCTAAGAGCCGCGGCGGGAGAAGCGGGGCGCCCCTGTTGCCAGCGCTGGCAGAACTCCTCGGAGCAGGGCCCGCCTCTTCCGGCTTCACCGGCCGGCCGGCTGGGCAGGTGCGGCAGGTCCCGGAAAATGGGGCTGGAGCGGAAGCAGCCCGGCGGAGCGGCCGCGCTGTCTCTGCTCCTCTTGGGTGAGCAGGGCTGCCGCACGGCGGGGATGCGAGGCGGGGAGGACGGCGAGCTGGGGAGGGGGTCGCGGCGGAGGCCTCGGCCAGGGGCCCGGCCCGCTGCCACCCAGGACCGGAGGGCGGCGGGCCCGGGAAGGCGGCTTCGGGCGGGGGTTCGGCTTTCGCGCGCTCCGAAGCCCCGCCGCGGCGGTCTGCTTTCCCTCCCGACGGGCTCCGGTGCCAGACAGGTGGCGGAAGAGGGCCCGGGGGGCTGCGGCCGGGAGGCTGACCGGCGCTGCGGCTGTGCTTGCTTGCAGCGGTTGCCAGAGTCCACCTGCTGGAGATCCAGACCGCTGCCCAAGTTCGCGCGTTTGTGGGCGAGCCGGTGACCCTCAAGTGCCGGTTCAAATCCTCCGCTCCGGTCACAGAGCAGCTCACCATCGACTGGACCTACCGGCCTCTTGCCGGGGGCAACTTGGAACCGGTGAGCTGCGGGAGGGCCCTGGTTCTGCTGCTTTGGCAGCCCTGAAGTGGCACAGTCCACGGGAGGAAGTCGGGCAGCCGGGTGACCTCTTCTCCCTGGGGGAGTTGGTTGCTGTGGGCTCTTCTGCTCTGGCTTACCCTCCCCTCCCCTCCCCTCCCCCAGGTCTTCCACTACCAGTCCAGTGCCTACCCAGCCAAGAGAGGGAGCTTCCGGGAGAGAGTTTCTTGGGCTGGCGATGTGTCCAAGCAGGATGCTTCCATTATGATCTGGAACCCAACCCTGGAGGATAACGGGACATTCACCTGTTCTGTGAAGAATCCCCCTGATGTGCAGCACAACATCCCTCAAACCCTGCTGACCGTCAGTCAGAGAGGTAAAACAGAGGGAGGGGGGCAGGAGGGGGAGGGTGTGGCAGGCCCCGCATTGCCACTGCCAGCTGCTTCCTGAAAGTCTGCTCCTCTTGGCTCAGGCTGGTCGTCCTTCTGCCTGCCCTGCAGAGGGTCTTCCAGTTTGGGGTGCCTGGGGTAGCTGAGGGGGCTGCACTAGTCCCTAACGTTGCCCTGGGGGACTCTTATAGGCTCACCTGGGGCTTCCTCTAGCAGGCAGCAGGAAGGAGTTTTGCTCTGCCTGCCCCACCCTGCTCTGTTTCCAAAGGTGCCTCCTTCCAGCTGACCTCATCTGGACTGCTTTCCATCCTGGTCTTTCTTCCCTCTGGCATTGTGGTGGTTCTGCTGCTGGTTCGGATGAATCAGAAATCTGGGTTGATGAAACCAAGTAGGCAGCTTGGTTGCCAGAAGTCCTCCATCGAAGTCTGCGTCGAAGAGTAAGAGCGATGAGGGGAGGGGTTGAGCCTTGGCAGAGGGACTGATTGCCTCCTAAGGGAGGTGAAGATGGCCCTCCCTCTGCTACACCCCAGGGCAAGTGGTAGCTGAGAAGGAGAGGCCCACCCGGTATAGGAGCAGAGGGGCCCACAATTGGGCTGCTGGTGGAGCTAGTTGCTTCTCTCTTCTTTTTCTACAGACCTGAGCAAAGGGGCTGCAGGGAGCGACTGGTTAGCTGTTGTTTGCAGTGCCTGGTAAGCTGAAAGGTCATTAGGAGAGAAATCTTTTGCATTTTCCCACATGTTATGGAAGCACCAATTCCTGCATCCTCTCGCTGGGAAGCCAGCAGGGGTTCAGCCTCCTCCCTGCTGGCATCTCTCTCATTCTTCCCCACTGAGAACCAGCAGACACTGGCAGAGTGCTTAGACTGCCCTCGGGCTGCCTGGAGGGTCGCTGAGCTCAGAAAGGTGGCCCAAAGAGACTAAGTAGAAGGTTGTAGGAGATGCCAACAAGGCTC